GGTGTCGATTGCGCCGATATTGGCGCGGAAGCTGCCCGCGTAGGGTCGCGCGCAAGCGCCCTCGCCTTCTTTTTGTGGCGTGCCGAGCTGGCGGCCCGCGGCAGCCACCGCGTAAGGTCGCGACGGCATCTCGCGGAAGACCCTTTTCTGATCGTCGCCCAGTTGGTGTTCGAAACGTTGAGGCGTTTATGTTTTCCCCCGTTTTGACCCGCTAGGTTCTCGGCCAGCCAGAACGGAACACCGACGGCTGCCCAAAACAGAAACAACAACGGCAGTACGACGCCGAACCAAACCGAAAATGGCGCGAGCGAGACGGACCTCAAAATCTGTAAAAACAAAACGGCGATATTGAAAACGGAGAAGACGCCCCCAGCGTTTCTCGACATCACCCATGGGCGGGACGGATGTGGAGGAAGCGGCAGGAGAACGATGAGCGCACAGCAGATGGGGCGGGTTCAGGACGCCGCCCTGGTCCCGCGCGTGTTCCTCCATTGCCTGCGGATGGAGTTCGAGGACACGGGCGCCCGCGCTGCATTCGGCTTCTGCGGACCCGTTCTGAGAATCACGGGCTCGGGTGCAGTCAACACGCTGGAATATGGAACAGCTCGGGGTAGAAGGATCTCGCTGTTCCCCATGTCCTTCCACGGTTGTTCCTCCAGCGCTCTTCATGCACGCAGGCGCGTCCGATGTCAAACAGTGTTTCCTTGTTTAGCGTTCCTCACGGTAGCAGCTGGACTGTATCTACCACGCGGCGTCTACCCTCCTTGTCGCCACAAAGGATGCGGACCGGAGCGAGGGGCCTTCGCTCGCGCGAGTCCGCTCGGGCACGGTACGGCAACCTCTTGGGTGTCATGTTGTCGATTGCTACCCTTTCTCCCCTCATCCGCCTCCAGCATGCGAACCCTACCCCTACCTCCCACGATTTCTGAGGGGGAGGGTGGGGAATAGGGGTAGGGTTCGCATGTGGCCCCCTGCCTAAGGATGAGGCAGGCAGAGGAGGCAGGAGGAGGCAGCCGTGCTCTCGTGGCGCGACGTCGCGGAGCTCTCCTGGGTGTCATGTTGTCGATTGCTACCCTTTCTCCCCTCCTTCTGCTGATGCGCCTTGTTTCGCCGGTGCGTGCAGGAGTCGGTCCCTCCAGCTGCTCCTCGCCTTTTCTGGAGGACGTGGCAGAACGTCGCAGCGGTGTCTAGTGATTTCAAATAAGGGCGTAGCCACCACCATCATCATCATCATCATCATCATCATCATCATCATCACCATCATCATCATCATCATCACCATCATCACCATCATCACCATCATCACCATCGTCACCATCGTCACCGGCAGCATCAGCATCAGCATCAGCACGACCGGGCAGCTGTTCTCCCGCGATGTTGTGCTGTAGTGTCGCGCCGGCCGTGCAAAGTGGGCAGAGCCGCTTGCGGCTGGACGGAGATGGAAGCCAACTCAGCATCAGCACCGGCACCGCCATCATCATCATCATCATCATCATCATCATCATCATCATCGTCATCATCATCATCAGCATCATCAGCATCATCAGCATCATCATCACCAGCATCAGCATCAGCATCATAATCAGCATTGTCATCAGCATCATCCTCCTCCTCCTCATCATCAGTATCATCATTAGCATCATCATAAGCATCATCATCATCAGCAGCATCAGCATCAGCATCAGCATCAGCATCAGCATCAGCGTCCGCAGCATCATCATCAGCAGCATCATCAACATCATCGACGTGACTATAATCATAGCATTATGTACAAACATCTTCTGCATCATCGGCACTAGCAGCACCGTCACCACCATCATCAGCATCACCAGCAGCAGCACAGCCATAACCATGGACGCCACCATAGTCGTCTTCATCAGTTTCTTCTGCTCGCTGAGCGCGGTGGCCCGGATGGGGCCCGCTCTCCCCTCGGCGCGGCGACAGGACATGGACGGCTCCACGTTCGTCGCGGTGGGTGGGGGGTAGAATGGGATTTGAAGGGGCGGGATTGGGGCCGCGGGGGAGGGGAAGAGGAACCACGAAGGAGAGGGTAGAGGACGGGGGGAGGAGGAGGATGAGGGGGAGGAGGGAGAAGAAGGGAAGGAGAAGGCGGAGGAGGAGGACCAGGGGAAACCTAATACCCACCAACGATGTTGCAATAACCCCTCCCTCCAAGGTCCCTCTTCACTGGCTCGCGCAAGGGCTTGTTTTTCATTGTGGGAAAAGCCCCATTGGAAGACAATCGTTTGAACATCTTCAACCGTGCAAAAGCACCATACTTGCGATTTCAACGCCGACGCGTTTCAATGTCACTGTAGCGACCTTTCGACCCTAGATCGTGCCAGAACACCGTTTCTGGGACGTCAACACCACGAATCGACGTGATTGTCGCGCCTTGCCAGTCCTAAAGTGTGCACGAACACCAGTTTTGAGACGTCAGTCATCATAGTCCTCGAAACTGCTGTAAACTGTGAAGACGAATGTGCGCGGCGCTAAGGCGAGAGCCACAACTTGCAGCCCTCCATCCGTGAAGCTCTTGCAAACGTTTAAGGCGAATGTGCGAGGCGTTAAGCGAGAGCCACATTTTGAAAACTGCCCGCCCTCCATCCGCGAAGCTCTTGCAAACGTTTAAGACACATGTGCGCGGCGCTGCGGCGAGAGCCTCATTCCGAAAACGGCCCACCATCCATCCGTGAAGCTGTAATACGAATGTGCGCTGATGAAGTTTCAGGCGAAACGCCTGGACCGCCTTATCGGTACGTCTGATGGCGCGACGGCGAGGAGTCATTCATAAGGACGAGGACAGGGGGAGGGAGGAGAAGGACGAGGAGGAGGACCGAGAAAGGGAAGGAAGAGGAGGGATTGGAGACGGAAAGCGTGGGAGTGGGAGGGCGGTATATCGAAACGGGGGGCAGGAGGGGAGAGGCAAGGAGGGAGGGGAGGAATATGGCCCCCATGTCGCTGTCATCCAGAATGGCGGGGACTGGGCTACGAATGTATCTCACGAGTGGACACGACGAGTGGGGGGGGAAGCTCCTCCTCCTCCTCCTCCTCTTCTTCCTCCCGCTCCTCCTCCTCCTCCTCCTCCGCCTTGGGCTGATCATCCCTCCTGCTGTTCACGCCGCCCTACTGCCGTTGCTCATCCTGAGCCTCCTCCCTCTTCTCACCCCTCCTCGCTCCTTGCTCCTCACTCATCCGCCTCTACTCACCCCGCCCCTCTTGCTTATGAGTAATCCTTTCCTATCGCACCACAAGGGCGTACCGTTAGGGCGGTCCGGTCCTTTCTCCCAAGAGTTTCTCGCCTTTTCCGATCTGGAGGCTTGGCAAGTTTACCAACTGCCACGATCAAGGGCGGGCCGTCTTTTCAATGGGGCTCTCGCCTTGGCGCCGCGCACACTGAAACAATAATTCCAACTGTTGCGCGCAGGAAGGGCGAACGGTTTTCAGAAAGAAGCTCTCGCCTGAGACCTATTCAATCAAATATTCGAAGTGCAAGAGTGTGCAGCAGTGACACGACTGGAGGGCAGTTCCTTTTCCGCATGGGCTTCTCGCCGGAGACGTCATCAATAATGTGACTCGACGAGCAACTTTCTGTGAGTTCTGCAACATTTGTACTGATGGAGGGCATCTCGTTTTCAATGTTGGTTCATCGCCTTCAGACTTCGTCAGATCCGATGGCCAAGAGATTTTTAGCACTACGCAGCAGCTGCTCGGATGGAGGGCGGTTCCTTCTCAAAGCGGGGCTGTCGCTGAGCACGTCCTTGGACTTGAAGGCCCCTGGCCTGCCCTGTCGCATTCCTCCGTGGCTTGGACGGTGGCAGGCACTTCGTGTTCAAAGCGCAGCTCCCGCCCGAATCACGGCCCCGCGGGGCCCTAACTTTCAAGGGGGCGCACCGTGCAGTGAAGCTGCGCGCGTGTCAGGAACTCTATGGACGGATCCTTGCCCGGGAGGCTGTGTGGCAACACCGTTGATACATGTTGGGTTTATTTTGGCCACTCTTCCTCCTCCTCCTCCTCCTCCTCCTCCTCCTCCTCCTCATCATCATCATCATCCTTATCCTTATCCTTATCCTCCTCCTCCTCCTCATCCTCCTCCTTATCATCATTCTCATCATCATCATCATCATCATCATCATCATCTCATCATCATCATCATCATCATCATCATCATCATCATCACATCCTTATCAACATCCATCATCATCATCATCATCATCATCATCATCATCATGCATCATCATCATCATCATCATCAGCATACCACATCGCCACCAACAATCATCATCATCATCAGCATCGCATCGCATCAGCATCATCATCTCATTATCATCAGCATCATCATCATCATCATCACCTCCTCCCGTCGTCTCTCCCCCTCCTCCACTCCTCACTTCTCACTGCTCACGCCGTCCTCCTCCTCCCTCCTCCTCCTCCTGGCCTCCTCCTCCTGTCACTCCTCTCCTCCTCCTCCTCCTCCTCTTCTCCTTACCTACTCCCTACTCCTGCTCATGAATTCCCGCTTCCATCCGTCCCCACCTTCTGCTCCTGCTCCCTGCTGCTCCTCCTCCTCCTCCTCCTCCTCCTCCTCCTCCTCCTCCTCCTCCTTAACATCATCATCATCCTCATCCTCCTCATCATCCTCATCCTCATCATCCTCATCCTCATCCTCATCCTCTTCCTCCTGCTTCCTCCTCCGCTCCCTCCTTATCCCTCCTTTCGCCTCCTCCCTCTTCTCCTCCTCCTCCTCCTCTTCCTCCTCCTTCTTCTCCTACTCCTACTACTCCTTCTCCTCATCCTCCTCCTGCTACTGTGGCGGCGGCGACGACTAGGACGAGGAGGACGACGACGCCGACGAGGACGACGACGGCAGCGAAGATGACGACAACGACAACGAGGACGACGACGGCGGCGACGGCAGCGACGAGGGCGACGACGCCAGGCCAGCGACCTGGCCTCGGACCTGCAGGCCGCGGCTCTCCTCCGCCGCCATTTCAGCTGCCTTTTCTCTCGGCGGCATCGTCGACGCCGTCGTCGGGGGCCTTCTCGGCAGCGTCGTCGCCGCCGCCGTCGGGGAGGACCAGGGAGGGCCGGGGAGGATCGAGAGCCGAGGGCCGGGCTTGTTTTGTTCGCCGCTGAAGGGGTTTCAGGGGCCTCCAGCGGCGCCCAAGAGAAGGAGGAGGCGGCGGAGGAGGAGGAGTGAGAGGAGGAGGAGGAGGATGAGGAGGAGGAGGAGGAGGAGGAAGAAGAGGAGGGCCCCTCTGCAGTTGTTGGTTGTGTACCTGCTAGCCGCGGCGGTCGCGGGCGGATGGACCCATGTCCGCCGCCAGTGCGCGAGGAGGAGGAGGAAGATGAGGAGGAGGAGGAGGAGGAGGAAGAGGAGGAGGAGGAGGAGGAGGAGGAGGAGGAGGAGGAGGAGGAGGAGGAGGAGGAGGAGGAGTATCTCGCATTCGTAGAGCAGGGCGCAGAGCAGCCGAAAAGGAGGTTTGGCGGCCTCGCCCGCCGGCGTAAGTAAGGGCGGCTCTTCTGGACGCCCTCACCGACAAACCCTGGGCCATCCTGTTAAGGTAAAGTCGCCCTGTCCTCATTGGGGGGCGTCAGGTGTTGTGGAGAAGGAGGAGGAGGAGGAGGAAGCGCAAGCCTTGTGACAGCCACCGCTGCTCAAAGAAACTGTGCAGGGCTGCAATGATTGCGGCCAGGCTTTGACCAAAATGTCTGTGCTTCTGCGGGCGGGAAAAAATACGCTTGCACTTCCGCCAGCTCAGAGAGGAGGAAGAGGAGGAGGAGGAGGAGGAGGAGGAGGAGGAGGAGAGAGGAGGAGGAGAAGGAGGACCAGGAGGAGGGGAGGAGGAGGAGAGGAGTAGGGAGGAGGAGCGGAGGGAGGGAGGAGGAGGAGGGAGAGAGGAGGAGAATGAGGATCAGGTGGTGGAGCAGGAGGGGGGTGGACAAGGAGGAGGAGGAGGAGGAGGAGGAGGAGGAGGAGGGGGATGAGGAGGGAGGAGGGAGGAGGGAGAAGGAGGAGGAGGAGGAGGAGGAGGAGGAGGGTAGGAGAAGAAGGACGAGCAGGAGGAGGAGGAGGTGGAAGAAGAGGATCAGGAGGAGGGAAGGGGGAGGGGGAATCGAAGAAGAAGAAGAAGAAAAAGAGGAGGGAGAGGAGGAGGAGGATGGTGTTTTTGTTGTCGTTTTTGTTGTCTTTCGACACGCTGGCAAAAACTTTTGCAAACTGCCCAGTGTCTGCGCTGCACGAAGAGCTGCCAGTGAGCTTAAGTGCCATCACCGTGTGCGAGGCCTCTCGGTCTGCAACGAGATTGAAAAACGGTCGCGCTAGCGGCCTCGATGATCTGTCGACCGAGTTTTGTAAACCCGCTGCAGAAGACGGAGTACGTGCGCTCGCATGGGTTACCAGATTTTGCAATCTGGTCTGAACGCAGGGTCGTGTTCCCGACGCCTGGCGCAAGGCGCATGTCTGCATGATCTACAACAAGGGCGACCCTGGCAGCGTGCGACAACTACAGGCCGGTACGCCTGCTTCCCATTGGGTACAAGGTCTTCGCGAGGATCCTGTTGCAAAGGCTGACGGATGCTGGGGCCCAAGACCGCATCTGGCGAATGCAAGTCGGCGTTCGCTCTAGAGGTACCGCTGATGCGATCTTCGTGGCCAGACTAGTCATAGAGGACGCTCGGTCAGCCAAAAACGGCAGCGCGGTGCCTATGGCTCTAGAGGGGCGAGAAACTATTCGAGTCGGTGGCGTCAGACGCTCTGCCGACCTCGCTCAAGAGATTGGGTGCTCTGACGGAGTCGTCGATATGGGCCAGTCAGCTTATGGTGCCAGGACGTTTGAGGTGTCCGACTTCGGTGTGTTGTCCGCTGAACGGGACCAGTGCTTCGGCATTTGCCAATGTTGCCCATTATTCCCGCTTCTGTTCACCATCGCTCTGTCAACTTTGATGGCAGACGCGTGCTGGGACCTTTGGCTGCGGTTGCCAGAGATTCCCGGTGCGCACTTCGTCTAGAAACTGGTTAACGCGGACGACACGTTGCTCCTCGATGCTGGTCCCGTCGCAGTGGGCGAGCTGATGGCGTGCGTCGAAAATTGTGGAAAGCATTACACTTTGACTCTGCATTGGAGGAAAGTGGAGCTTATCACTTTCCGCTCTGACGCTCGCCCGCAGAACAGCTCCGGAGAACAAGTGCAAGAAAAAGAAGCTCCGACTTACCTCTGCACCCACCTCGCGCTGGACGGGCGATGCGGATCGGATCCGAACTGGAGAATCGGGACGGCCAAACAAGATTTCAAAACATTGAAATCGGTATGGTCAAACTCTTCGTTGAGCAGGCAGAGAAGTATAAATGTCCAGCGCGCGTACTATGCCCAAGCTTGTGTGCAATATGCTTGTAGCTTGTCTTAATCACGCAGGACGTAGAAGAATTGACGATTTTGTATACAAGCTGTTCGGGGTCAATGTTTCGTGTCCATCCGCTGATATCAGTCGCGCGTCGAACAATACCGTGCTCAGCATGGCAGACGAGCGCTCGCTCAGCGAGGTCATCGTCAAACGACATATGATTTCCTTCTGGCCAGCTTGCCAGGCGCTCGGGGAACGATCCAGTGAGACAGTCGGCGTTGGAACCTGGCAGTTTCGGTCTGAAGCAGCCGACTGGTCCCCAGAAGAGAGGGCGTCCCAGGCAAACGTGGGGGGGAATGTTAACGAACAGTTGTTTGGGCATTTCTGACACCCTTGCCCGTCTTGCTGAGCACTTCCGGCTGGAGGGCGGTGCAGCGCCGGCAAGGGAACCAGTTGTCCGCGCATGGCATCTTGGATTTTTGTTGCAGTATACTCTCTTGGTTGCGCACCGCTGACCCGAGTGACTGACAGACCGAGTCACTGCCTGATTGACTTCGGCCTCTGGAGGCTTCAAGGGATCTGCGGAGACTTCCAGGAGGAGAGGAAATCACTCTGATGATGAACTGGCGGCGAAGTGGAGGAGGAGGATAATGAGGAGGTACACTGAGGATTACCAGGAGGAAGAGGGGGAGAAGAAGAAGGAGGATGTGGAGGAGCAGAAGGAAGAGGATAGGACGTGAAAGACGATTCGAAATGAGGAGGAGCAGCAAAAGACCCTGTGGACAAGAGAGTCCAAACATGGTACGGTGCGTTAGCGCCATTTTCGTAAATAGTAACTGGCGAATTCCATGGGTTTGAAGGTGAGCGCCTTTGGCAAGGGACCGCCAGCTTCTTCACGGCGCTGGCGTCCAGTACATCTCGTGTGTGGTGTGTGTGTGTGCTTGTGTGTGTGCGTGTGCGTGCGTGCGTGCGTGCGTGCGTGCGTGCGTGCGTGCGTGTGTGTGTGTGTGTGTGTGTGTTTGTGTGTGTGCGTGGATTTGTGTGTGTGTGTGGGTGCGTGCGTGCGTGCGTGCGTGCGTGCGTGCGTGCATGTGTGTGATGTGTGTGTGGTTGTGTGTGCGTGTGTGTGTGTGTGTGTGTGTGTGTGACCCTCACGCCTCCGTTGCTGCCTGTGTGGCAGTCGCTGCAATGCAGTTTCAGCGCTGCCTTCCTAGCATGCTTCCTCAGAGGACTACGAGGAGAAAGGAGGATTTGCCTCATGCCTCAGGTGGTGCTGGACCGCATCCAGAAGGCGCGGTCTCTCATTGCCATACTCGTCTTGTGATGCTTGCTGTCGGCAAGGGGACCGTGCCAGAAGGTGCTTCTCTGGCTGCGTGTCACCGCCCATCGCTCCATGGAGGGTCACGACTTGCATGCCATGCTATCTTGGACCATGTTGTGGCTGCAGTGGCCGTCCGTTCGGGCACACAGCTGGAACAAGGGCTAATCACAACCTAGGTGTCGGAGGGGTGCCCTTAGGTTCTTCGCCGTCTCGCACCCCGCACTACCAGGTACTTCGTGTGTGGTATCTGCATGGGGCCCTTCGCCTTCAGCGCAGGGGCTCCTATGATGGATCCAAGTTCTCGTGGCCCCGCCTCGGGTTTCTCGGGCCATGCTGGAGGTTGCGCATGGACAGCCAGCCGGCGGGTCCGAGCCTTGCTGCTGGTGGCCGCCAGACCAGACGCCCAGACCCACGACGGTCGTGTTTTTTTTTTTTTGCGGCGTGGGTCCCCAGAGCTCCCGACTCCACGGGGACCCGATGTTCTCACCCCCAGGCGTTTTGCTGACGGTCCCGGGGCCCAGACGGCCCAGGGCTCTCATTCCCAGGAATCCGCGGGCCCCCAGGGTTCCCAACCCCTTGCCAGGGGCCAGTTGCTTAGCCCGATCGGGGGCTGTTTTTGACGGCCGTCGCCAGAACCCAGAGGATCTAAAAACTCCGCGTTTTGGAGGTCGAGCCTTCTCTGACTACAAATTCCGCCATACTGTGGTTGATTTTCCGACTTGAAGCTGCGTCGGGAACGAAGATTATGGCGGAAAGTTCCGCCTCAGAAAAGTAACGAGGCAATGTCCGCCTTATTTTGGTTGAAAGCTCCTCAACCTTGTGAAACATGTCCGTTCAGCTGTCCACGAAGTCGGGCGGGCATCCACAAGTGCACAGCGACCACAGGAACGGACAAATGCGGCGGACATCGACATCAAAGGAGCCTGAAAGTAGGAAGGACACTCCCCACAGTGAGGCGGATGGGAAGCCAGGGCTCGCGGGAGCCAGCTTCCTACCCAGACCCCCGACGTCATGATTTTTTCATGACGTCGACTTCCCGAGGTCTCGACCCATTCCCCGGGACCGGTTTTTCGTCCTGAGTCGTTTTTTGACGGTCCCGAGGGCCGGTGAGGGCCCCCAAAGGCCAAAAATAGTGAAAAACCTCCCGTCGTGATTTTTTCATAACTCGAGGGGGTCTGGGTATCCCCACCGGGTTGGTTGTGACGGCGGAGCTTCTGCACGAGGCGTGTGCGCAGCGCCGGCCGAGGCCGGCGCCTCTGGCGGCCCCGAAAGGGGCCACCCTGACTCCGGATCCGTCCTGTTTTGGGGGACTTCATGGCTAGGGGCGCAGATTCCCTCCCTACTACTTTCCGGGCTCCTTAGGTGTTGGTTTCCGCCCTGTTCCGCCGTCGCGGAGCCCAGACCTCCGACATCTGGATTTTGTCGCAGCGTGGATCCCCCACGGCCTCGGCCCGTTCGCCAGGGCCAGCTTCTCGTCCCGAGTCGTCTCGTGACGGTCCCCAGGCACCGGTCAGGGCCCCCGGAGGCCGAAAATCGAGAAGGACCTCCCGTCATGAGTTTTCTTTCCACGACGCGAGGGTTCAGTCGGGCCTGTCCCCCTACAGGGGGATTTTCGACGAAAAATGAAAAATACCCCCAAAATAGTCCAAAAATATTCCCAAAAAATAGTCCCCACACTATTTTTGGATGACTTTTGGACCATTTTTGGGGGTACTTTTTAGTTTTCGTCGAAAATCCCCCTGTAGGGGGACAGCCCCGACTTAACGCGAGGGGGAAGAGGAGGAGGAGGAGGAGGAGGAGGAGGAGGAGGAGGAGGAGGAGGAGGAGGAGGAGCAGGGGGGTCTGGGACGCCCGCTGCCTTCGCTCGGCCTCCTCGGAAGCGCCGAGGGCCCCTGCCGAGGCGGCGGCCGGCCCCATGTCCCCTGGGCACCCGCGCGTGTCGCTCGGCCTTCAGCGGCCTCCGCCCCTAGATCAGGAGGGGAAATAACACACAGACGCAATTACTCGTCCATTCCCCAGAAAGTATGGGAAGATATCGGCAGTGGGGGGGAAGACAAAAACCTAGAAAATATTGGAAAATATGATGTCGGGCGTGTCCCCCTACAGGGGGATTTTCAGCGACAAATAAAAAAATACCCCCAAAATGCACCAAAAAGCTACAAATATTTTAAAAATAGTACCCGGACTATTTTTGGATTATTTTTGGTATTTTTTATTTTTCGTCGAAAATCCCCCCCTGTAGGGGGACAGGCCCGACTTAAGCCAAGGGGTAACGTTTTCGGGGATGGCTTGGTGCCGATTTCCGTCCTACTTTGCAGTCGCTGTTTCCGCCACCCTCTGCGGAAATATCCGCCCAATTTTTTGTTGGCCTACTTTTTGGCATCTTACGGTATGCGTTTCCGATGCAATTTGAGTCGGATAATCAACCAAAGTGTGGCGATCCCTGAGTCTGGGGGCAGGCCCCGAGGTTATCTCCCGCCTCTAAGAAGCTTTCCGATCGCCTCACTTGTCTCTTTTCGCTTGGCTCGTGATGCGAACCGCGCGCGCGGGCTAGCAGTGACAGCATCGAAGCACGTGCAGGTGAACGCTGTGACGAAAGGAAAACTTCCGATTGCCTTCCACGGCCAGGTCCTCGGAACCGTCGTGCCTGCGGGCACCAGTGCGAACTCCCCATTGCCAAGCACCGCCCCCAGAGACGACGTCGCTTCGAAGTCGCCCCAACTCCCGTGCTGGAGCAGGTCTCGCACAGGGCGACAGACTCGACGCCGCCCACGGCGAGCGGCCTTCCGCCGGAGTGACGTTTTGGGAGCGAGGGTTCTGGGGAGGGGGGCGCGGGGGGAGGCCGAGCTCGCCGCACGCGGAGATCGGGGCTGCCTTCCCCGGAAGCCATCTCCGGCCTCCAAGGAACCTGTCAGGCTGCGCCGAGGCGCGCAGCGACACAGCACCAGAAACCACCACCATCATCATCACCATCACCATCACCAGCATCATCAGCATCATCAGCATCATCATCATCACCATCATTATTACCATCATTATCAGCATCATCATCATAATAATCATCATCATTATCACCACCATCACCATCATCATCATCATCATCACCATCATCATCATCGCCCTCGACATCATCACCATCGCCATCTTCACCACCACCAGTCATTTACCACTCATCACCATCATCATCGACACGATCGTCATCATCACCATCGTCATCACCATCACCATCATCACCATCGACACGATCCTCATTCACCACCATCATCACCATCGTCATCGACACGATCATCACCATCACCACCACCATTATGGCCGTCACCATCAGCAGCATCATCATCATCAACGCCATCATCACGACCATCACAATCAACAATCATGCTTACCACCATCACCATCACCATCAGCATCAGCATCATCATCATCATTAGCAGCATCAGCATCAGCATCATCATCAACATCATCATTTATCATTTTCATCACCATCACCGCCACCACCACCTCCATCATCAGAACCATCATCGCCATCACCATCACCATCATCACCACCAGCAACTCATCAGCATCAGCACCAGCACCAGCACCACCACCATAATCATCATCGCCATCCTCATCATCAGCATCATCGTCATCACCACCACCACCACCACCACCACCATCATCATCATCATCATCATCATCATCATCATCATCATCATCATCATCATCATCATCATCCTCATCCTCATCCTCATCCTCATCCTCATCCTCATCACCATCCTCATCTCATCCTCATCATCCTCATCATCCTCATCCTCATCCTCATCCTCCTCCTCATCCTCCTCCTCATCCCCCCCCCCCCTCCTCCTCCTCCTCCTCCTCCTCCTCCTCCTCCTCCTCCCCCTCCTCCTCCTCCTCCTCCTCCTCCCCCTCCTCCGAGGCCTGCGCGACGACCGCGGCGGCCGGCCCCCGGGGCGCCGCGAGCCCGCCGGGCCTCGCGGCGCTGCTGTGCCGGTCGGCGGAGGCCGCCGCCCGCCGCGGCCGCCGCCGCCCCGCCCCCCAAGGGCAGCGTCGGGGAGGTCGAGGGGATCTCGTCGAGGGGAGGGGATCGAGGGGGTCGAGGGGGTCGAGGGGACCGAGGGGGTCGAGGAGCTCGAGGGGATCGAGGGGATCGAGGGGGTCGAGGGGACCGAGGGGCTCGAGGGGGTCGAGGTGACCGAGGGGCTCGAGGGGGTCGAGGGGACCGAGGGGACCGAGGGGGTCGAGGGGACCGCGGGGCCGCCGCGGCGTCGGGGAGGCCGAGGGGAGCGAGGGGATCGAGGTCGAGGGTTGGTACGATCGAGATGGGCACGGAAAGAAGGGGATCGAGGATCGAGGGGGTCGAGGGGATCGAGGGGGTCGAGGGTCGAGGGGATCGAGGGTCGAGGATCGAGGGGATCGAGGGGCCGCCGCGGCGTCGGGGAGGTCGAGGGGGTCGAGGGTCGAGGTCGAGGGTCGGTACGATCGAGATGGGCACGGAAAGAAGGGTCACGAAGACCGGCAGCAGTTCTGGCTCGCTTTGGAACAGGGCTCCCCCGAGCGGTGTCGCCACGGGCACGGCCCGCCTGAGGCATGAGGGCGCCTGCCCAGCAGCGGCGCTGTCGGTGTTGCACAGCATCTCCTGTTGGGCATCGCACCCACTCTCTCTCCGCACCCACTTCCAGCGTCCGAAGAGAAGGTCGAGGGGACCGAGCCGCTCGAGGAAAACAATTTTTAAGTCGGGCCTGTCCCCCTACAGGGGGATTTTCGACGAAAAATAAAAAATACCCCAAACATAGTCCAACAGTAATCCCAAAATAGTCTGGGGGCTATTTTTTGAATATTTTTTGATTTTTTCGGGGTACGTTTGGGGTATTGTATAGTCGTAGACGTGAATACCCCAACAGGCCCCTCCTCGCCCGTGCTTGTAAATGCTGACCCCCCGCAACTGCGGTGGCTCAAAGTCTGAGAGGCCCCCAGCCGCGGCGGCCCCTGCATGGACGGAGGGGCGCCTCCGCTGTGGGCGACACTGCTCACGGCCTGGGGGGCGACCTGGAGCGCCTGCTGGAGTTGGGGCTGGGGCGGAGTCACCACCCAGGCGGCTCTCGCGGCGCCGCTCGCGACCTCCGGCCACTGCCAGGAGGACTCTGAGCGCTGCTCCTGCGACTGGGAGCTGCGCAAGACCATCGACCTCCAGCAGGAGGTCGGCCTCCTCCAGTCGGAGGTGTGGGCGCTGCGGTGCCTGCTGCTGGCCGGGCTCCTGCTGCTCGGCGCTGTGGCCTCTGGTGCTGGCACGCTGGGTTTCCTGGTGGGGGCCTGCCGGCGCTGTCGCTGCGGCGGGCGCGAGCGCGCGCCGGGCCGGGCGGCCGAGCCCGGCGCCCAACCGACCGCGGCCTCGAGGGCGGCGGCGGTAGAGGGGCTGGCGTGCCCGCAGCCGGGCCGAGGGCCCTCGACGCCGAGCCGCCGGCAGCTGTAGCCCGATGGCAGACGTGCTGACGCTGGACATCGGCGACCCGCAGATCCTGGTCCACTACCCAGATGATGAGAACGGCTTCCTCTGGCACCACAGAGTGCTGCTCTTCAGGGTGTCGGACGACATCTGGATCAGCTTGACCCCTGATCTCGCGCTGGTGCGCCTGAAGCTGCTGGACATCCGGCACGAGGTGCTGGAGAGGCGAGCCCCGTTCCCCGCCCACCTGGGCAACCAGGTCTATGCCCACGACCCCATCGCCGCCGCCGCCCTGGCGGGCTTCCGCCGCCGTGCGAAGATCCAGGGGCAGCTGCTGGGCGTGGGCCAGGTGGACGTGGTCGAGAGGATGATCTGGGTGGTGGCCGAGCCCCGGTCGGCGAAGTTCGGCGAGGTGATCGACGCGGCCGTCATGGACGACGACGCCCGCGGCACGGGCTTCGACACGAAGGGGGTGGCGGTCGTGGACGGGGAGGAGATCTTCGTGCAGAAGATCGCGGCCAGCAAGCTCGACGACTTCAAGAGGGAGACCAAGGCGGACCTCGGAGACGTGCGCACGCTCGGGGACCACCTCGACGATGCTGGGCAGCGCTGTCTGAGGCTCTCGGAGGCGGTCGCGCTGATGAGAGACACGGATCAGCCGAACTTCCCGCTCGCCGGCGTGAGGAGCGTGAAGGAGTTCCTCGAGTCGGTGGCCTCCGGACCTGGCAACATGACATCGTACCAGGCGGAGTGGGAGCGGCTCAGCGGAGTCGGTGAGGGTTCGGCAGTCAACCATGTGCACCGCAACCTGTGCGAGGTGATTCGGCTCATGCACTCCTGGGACCAGGTCGACGCCTCCATGTTGGCCTCTGCGGAGCTGATCGTGCGCTGGCTGGTTCAGACGGAGATAGCGGTAGAGCGCAACCCGCGCCACCCTGACTACAGCGGGCTGGACATAGTGATCTCGGCCCCGGTGAATGCAGCTGGCCGCGCGACGACGAACAAGTTCAACTCCTGGGTCACCGACAAGCTCAAGGAGAGGGCGCAGATCTGGAAGCAGGAGCGCCTGTACCGCGAGGAGCAGAAGACGAACCTGAAGGAGGGCAAGGGCGGCGACGGCTACGACCCGTCCAAGAAGAAGCTGAAGAAGAGAGGGGGCAAGGCCGGCGCCGAGGGCGCCGGCGAGGGAGGATGACGCCTCTCGGGGCTGTGGGGGAGCCGGCGCTGGCAGCCCGGGCGCCGAGAGAGCCCCCCCACAGCCGACACAGACGTGGGCTAGCCCCCTCTATTCCTGGAGGGATCCGGTCACGAGATCGACGGCATGGAGACCCCTTTCCTCTGCCCTGCGATCCGAGTGGCCTCGGCTCTGCATGCAGCTCTGCGCGGCAACGGCAAGTTTTTGACACGGCCCTGGCCCTGAACCAGCTGGCCGCCGCCAACGTGAATTCACGTCGCGCCCAGGGGCACGACCGCGCACCAGAAGGGCACCTCCGGCCGACCGCCGTGCAGCAGTGGATGATCCAGAATGTCGCCCGGCGTGTACTGGCGTATGGGGATTGCCCCACTGACCTCACAGAGGAGTCATCGTTGCACGAGATCCTCGACTCGAGAGACCACTACGGGATGGAGCCCAAGAACTTGGCCAGCTTCGACTTCGACAAGGTCAAGATCCTGCACAGGAAGGTCCACGTTCGGCCGATACGCCGGGAGTTGCCCGCGTCGGCCGCTGGCTACCTTCGGCATGCTTCCGACTTGATCGAGATGGACGAAGCGGAGCTTGAGAGAGATCGTGCCGAGGGAGTGGGTGTCACGCCATACTGGGACCCCCTCCTCCGGCGCTCGCGAGACCTTCGGAAGCGACTGTACCAGCGCCTGGACCAGCAGGGCCTGCTGACTTGGCGCCGGCGGCTGAAGGGGCATGCGGGCATCTTCGTGGTCAAGAAAAAGGATGGGCTCCAGAGGTTGATCATCGACGCCCGAGCGGCCAATCGGGCGCATCGGCCACCTCCCACTACTCGGCTAGGCTCCTCGCGATGCATGGCCGACCTCGACCTCTCCGACCCCCGCCTGATGGCATCGGGCTTCGGGGGCCTCGGCTCTGGGGCCTTCAGCCCAGCCGGCCGCGAGGGGGACGTCGGGGACTGTTTCTACAACTTCACCATCCCCGAGCTGGCGAGCTGGTTCGGCTTCGCAGACCAGTTCGGCACCCACGAGCTGACGGAGATGGGCTGCCTGCCGGACTCGATCTGGGACGACGCCGAGGGGGCCGAGACCAAGGTCGTGGACGGCGAGCTGCTCTACCCCTGCATGTGCGCGGTGTGCATGGGCTGGTCCTGGGCGCTCTACTTCGCCAACGAGGCCGTGACCTACCGAGTCCAGCGGGCGCTGCCCGACGGGGCCGAGAAGGTGATGAGGGAGATGCAGCCTGCCCCGACCATCGAGCCCGGCAAGTGCGTGGCCGGAGTGTACGTGGACAACGTGCAGGTGATCGGAGGCTGCGAGGCTGACGCCAACACTCAGATGCATGAAATCGAGAATCTTTTTCGAGAGGACCGAATACCTTTCGACGTGGAGCCAGGGGACAGTTTGGAGATGCAGTCCCTCGGCCTGGTGTACCACTGGCAGGAGCGTCGCCTGAGGCATGTGGCTCGGCGCGTCTGGCGGACCTACATGGCCGGACACGCCCTTTTGAGACGCCGCAAGCTCCACGGGCACGCGCTCCAGTGCTGGCTGGGGCACGTCGTGAACCTGAACCAGCTCTGCCCCGAGGCGATGTCCGCGCTGAACGCCTGCTACCGCTTCATCGAGGAGTCGCTGGAGTCGCCCAAGCGGGTCTGGCCCTCCGTGAAGTCCGAGATCCGCTGCTCGATGAACTTGCTCTTCCTGATGGAGGCGGACTTAGGCGCGACCTACTCGGACCAGGTGTACTGCGGGGACTCGTCCGGCCGCGGCTACGCACTCCACGTGACGACCGCCGAGCCGACCGAGCTCCGAGAAGCCTGGAGGTGGAGAGAACGCTGGCGGTACCGCGACGTCCCGACGGTGACGGGCCACGTCAGCAGCGGGCTCGACTACGTGCGCGGCGGCACGCCCGGCACCGCCACTGGCCCGAGGACCGCCTTCGGCCAGTCCCTGCTGAGTCAGGCGGAGGCGCCGGAGGAGGCGAGCGGCCTGGCTCCCTCTCCGGCCCGAAGCCGCGCTGCGAAGCCGGCTCGAGGCCGCACCCAGCTGCATCTTGACTCGGGCATCCCCGCCTTGGAGGACAGCTGGGTGGCCAGGCGCCGCTACAAGCTGGTCGCCGCGGACCGCTGGCGCTGGCAGGACGAGCACATCAACCTCAAGGAGGCGAGGGTCGCCTTGATGGGGCTCCGGCGGCACTGCCGATCGGTGAAGTTCATGGGCACAAAGCTGCTCTCGATCAGCGACAGCCAGGTCACCGTCGGGGCCTTCGAGAAGGGCCGCTCCAGCGCGGGCCTGCAGGCCCTCTGCAGGCGCGCAGCCGCCTACCGCCTGGGGGGGCAGATCTCCTGGCGGCTCAGGTACATCGAGACTGACCGTAACCCGAGTGACGAGGACTCCCGGCGCTGGGACCTGAATAAGCCGGCTGGGCTGAACCGGGGGCCCGAGCGTCGAGACGCCGCCCCGAGCCTGTCCGCTCCAGCTGCGAGTTACACGACCTCCTCCTCTTCTCGGTCACCTCCGTCGGCATCCTCAGCATCTGTTGTACGCCCGTCAATTCAGAGCGAGCCTGGTAAATCAGTTTTTTGTATGGAGCTCTTCGGTGGAAAGGGGGAGCTGACTCGAGCCTGCCTGGCGGAGGGGCTTCCCTTCGCGGATTCAGTTGATATCAGAGACGTCTGGGAATTTGATCTTTCTCGTCGCAGTACACAAGAGTATATCCTGAGGCTGGCCCGAGAAGGGCGTTTGATATATGTGCACCTGGGAACGCCTTGTCAGGTTTGGAGTATCGCTCGGAGGGGGATCCGAAACCATGTTCGAGCCAGGGCCCGGGAACGTCTGGGCATCGAGTTCGCACTGTTTACGGCTACGTTGTGTCATATCCTATCACGTCGTGGGTGTTATTGGAGTGTGGAAAACCCCCGGACTTCGAGACTCTGGAACTTCGCCCGATCGCTCGCCTTCACGGACTCGCGGACGTCGTCGAGGTAAACTTCGATATGGGCATGTATGGCACGGCCTATCGGAAACCTACTCGAATCCTGACAAACCTGAGAGCGTTACAGTCCCTGGGAGATCGACCTCGCATTCGACATAAACACTCGGTCTTGCTACACGGACATCTCACACCATTTGCCGCCGCCTACCCGCCGGCATTGGGCTCGTGTTGGGCCAGGCTCCTTTCTTCGGCCTTGCCGGGCGACATACGCCCGGGCCAGCGAGCCTTCGACCCCAGCGAGGTCCGCCATGGCCTCCAGCGGGCCGCGGGCCGTCGCCCGGCGGCTCGAGGAGCAGCGGTTCACGGTGAGGTCGGTGAACCCCGTGAGCCAGCCTGCCAGGCCGCCGACTCGTTCCTCGAGCACGACCCGATCATCCAGTTCGGCCAGGACGAGCGGCCCCGGCGCTGGAGGGCCCACCCGGACTGGGCGGCAGCCGCCACCGGGGAAGGGCCGACCACGGCAGCCTACAGGCCCACGGCGGGCAGGCCCCATCACCGTCCCGCGGAAGGACTCGCTGATCATGGCGACGGTGACCGGAGGCACGCTGGAGAGGCACGCGACGGCGGTCCACGAGTTCGAGACCTACGCGAAGGAGAGGCGCCTGCCGCTGCAGCCGCTAGCACGCCTGGACGACAGCCTCTCCCTCTACTTCGTGGACCTGTTCGACGACGGCTTCGGGGTCTGGGAGGGGCGCAACGCTTTCTACGGGTACAAGCTGCTGAAGCTCAGGACGACAGGCAAGGTCGACCTCCCAAAGGCGCTGGCCTCCCTGAAGGGTTGGACGAAGCGGGCGCCCGGGAGGATGCGTCTGCCGCTGCCCGACATCATCGTGGACGACATCGCGCTGGACCTGGTGGAGCACGGGAACCCCCTGATGGGGGCCGCGGTGGTGATCCAGACAGACACCTACACGCGGCCCTCCGAGGTGGTGGGCCTGAGGCAGGGCCAGATCTTGCCGCCGGCGCCGGTCGCGAAGCTCGGCGCGCACTATGGCATCGTCATCGCGCCCTCGGAGTGGCGCGAGACCACGAAGACGGGCGGCCAGGACGACAGCCTGCTCGTGGGCGACGTGGCGAGACCCTGGCTCACGAGCGTGCTGCGGCTGCTCCACAAGCCCAACGTGTCGGACAAGAAGAAGATCTTCGACTTCACCCTCGGCGACTACGAGCGCGAGGTGAAGAAGTCGGCCTGCCGCCTGGGCTACACCTCCCTGGGCGTGTGCCCGCACGTCTTCCGGCACTCAGGCGCCAGCAACGACAAGGCGCACTCCCGGAAGACGTTGAAAGAGGTTCAGAAGCGCGGACGATGGGCATCATCCGCGTCGGTGGCTCGCTACGAGAAGGGGGCCCTGATCTTGCAGCAGTTGCGCAAGGTTCCCTTGGCCAGGCAGAAGAAGGCGGCGGAGCGCAGCAAGCGCCTGCCGCAGGTCCTCCTTCAAAAGATTCGTGGAATGTAGCGGCCACCAGTTCATGATATGGGTATGGGCGAAAGAGGGGCCGTCCAAGATGACAGCCCGACGATGTTCGACAAATTATCTCGTCTCAGGCCTGAGCTTCGATTGGATTACCTTGTCAGAGAGTGCGTGTGAAAGGTGATCCAAACTATATCGCACAGCTTCGCTGGATATGCATGTCTGGGCGAGGTTTTAGGCCATCTAGGGGTGTGTATAGTCGTAGACGTGAATACCCCAACAGGCCCCTCCTCGCCCGTGCTTGTAAATGCTGACCCCCCGCAACTGCGGTGGCTCAAAGTCTGCCCACCCTCAGCCACCCTCGAGCTCGGCATGCCTCGCTCGTAATTCAATGCTTTTTCCGCTGGGCGAAAGAGGGGCCGTCCAAGATGACAGCCCGACGATGTTCGACAAATTATCTCGTCTCAGGCCTGAGCTTCGATTGGATTACCTTGTCAGAGAGTGCGTGTGAAAGGTGATCCAAACTATATCGCACAGCTTCGCTGGATATGCATGTCTGGGCGAGGTTTCTAGGCCATCTAGGGGTGGTTTTATTTTTCGTCGAAAATCCCCCTGTATAGGGGGACGCGCCCGACATGAAACAATTTCCATAGGCATATAAGTTTTCAGAGCTCCGCTCGGATCCCTTGAATCTGCGCTGGGGTCCCCATTGCGGCGCCTTCCGCGCCGCCCCGGGCGCGCTCCACGCGCCGGGGAGGGTGTCCAGCGCAGATCCAAGAAACCCGCGTGGATCTCCGAAGGTAGCTTTCGGTCCCCCTACAGGGGGATTTTCGACGAAAAACAAAACATACCCCAACAATAGTCCAAGAATAGTCCGAACATAGCCTGGGGGCTATTTTTTGAGTATTTTCTGGCCTTTTGGGGGTCTGTTTGGGGTATTTTTTATTTTTCGTCGAAAATCCCCCTGTAGGGGGGCACGCCCGACATAAAGGTATATGTTCATGCAGATTTTTACCATCATTCTGCAAGCCTCGCCAACAAACACCTTGACACGCCGTTCGAAATCGTGGCGCTCGATGGTTCGGACCCTTGTCGGAACGTGTGTGCTTCAATGCTGTGAGGGCATTGCCAGATTTCGGACACACTGGCGTCGGGGCCAATGTGCATCATGCTGCCATTGGGAAAGCGCCGACCACAAGAGCACCGAAAACAGTTTGGGGCTACTGCAGGTTTTGTCGAACACCGAGCATCCAGGGGCGCTGGACAGGGACAGAGAGGTACCACTCATTTGAGCCATCTCTCGCAGGACAGCTGGTCTATGTAGCTGGACGCTTCAGTCCCACTTTAGTGCACGTCATCTGTTATGTGGGGAAAAAACATACAGACGCAATTAATCGTTCACTCCCAGGAAAGTATGGGAGAATATGGGAAGTGTGGGGGGAAAGACAAAAACCCAGAAGATCTGGGAAACGATGGGGAATCCTTTTATTTGTGTGTATTTATATATGTGTGTGTGTGTGTGTGTGTGTGTGTGTGTGTGTGTGTGTGTGTGTGTGTGTGTGTGTGTGTGTGTGTGTGTGTGTGTGTGTGTGTGTGTGTGTGTGTGTGTGTGTGTGTTCCAGGGCCCCTTCGAGCTGAGGCAGCTCAGTGGCCTCGGGATCGAGGTCGAAGGGGTCGAGCGACGGTCGAGGGGGTCGAACAAGGCTCTGCCGCCCCGGCCCGGGGTAGCAGGAGGCGGGGGTCGTGGGCTCTAGGCTGCCGTCGGGCCTGTTCCCCGACGGGACGAATGATAAAGTAATCTTCCAAGAAGAATCAAAAATACTCCAAAAACAGCCTGGGAACTATTTTTTGAACATTTTGGACCTTTTGGGAGTATTCTGGGGGTATTTTTTTATTTTTTCGTCGAGAATCCCCCTGTATGGGGGACACGCCCGACATAACTTTAGGCTGCCCCAGCTGGGTGTGGCATTGCAATAGAGCTGCGGATTTCCTGAGCAAGCAGGCCGCCAAGCAGGTGCCCCACTTTGAGCATGAGCAGCGATTGGAGGCCAAACCTACCGAGCAGCTGTCCCCCCTGGCTGTGTATACTGCTGGGCTCCTAGGTCTACCCTGGCCAGGGCTAAGCCGAAGCCCTCGGAGCTTTTCATTGTGCCGAGCCCGAATGGCCACGAGGTTCTGCACTGTGGGAAAGGTTTCGCCTGTCGGATCTGCGTGTCTCGAACGAGGACATACACTGCCCTGGCCTTAACCCCGTGTAGCGGAATTCCTGGAGTCACCAGGCAGACTCATTCTTCGCATAGCTTGTCGGGGAGTCTCGATGTCGTCTTGAATTCGCGTTTGTTTTATTGTTATGTGTGCAGATGTTTTGGCCGAGCGAAGGTGCTGAAGTTGTCAGAGCAATGTTTGGGGTTTCCCTCGAACCGAGACGCTGGCAACACCCTCCACCTCCTCAAGAGAGGCATCGACCCCAGCACTAAGAAATTCTTCGGCCGCAGCACACTCATCAGGAGGAGGTTGTTGCTGCGTCGCCATTTTTGTCCCCGCCCTGCCCCGCTCCGCTCTCGTCGTTCTGCCGGTGGTTTCACGTCGTGGGGTCATGCAGTCAAAGGCTGAAAGGCTGAAAGGAGCTCAACTAGCCGCGGTGTCGTGTCTCTCTGGACGAGTTTCCGGATGCTGGACATCGGTCGAGGGTCTCGAGAAGGCGTTAGTCTCCTCGAAGCGTCGATCAAGAACTACTGTCGGACAACACACATGGAGCGCAGCACTGATGTTGCTCCGGGAAGGAATTCGCTTAGGTGTGCAACTCGTGCCAAGCCACTACGCTGCGACTGTCAGCGCATGCAGAAAAGGCGGACGATGGCAACAAACGCTGTCAGTGCTCCGTGAGATGTGGGAGGCGTTTGGTGGAGCCCAATGCCATCTCTCCTACAGCGCTGGCGTCAGCGCGTGCGAGAAGGGCGAGCAGTGGCAGCCTGCGCTTGCGCTGCTGAGCGAGATGTGGGATGCGAAATTGGAACCCGACGCCATCTATGCTGCAGTACCGCGCATTCCACGTGCCAGAGCGGCCAACTGCTAAACCCTGGCCGGGGCTTATGGGGCGGCGCCTCGGCGGCTCCGCTCGAGTGGACGGCCCATCCAGCCTTCAGAGAGCCCAGAGGGCCCCCAGGGAGCCCCCAGAAAGCCCAAGAGACCACCAACGACGGCCTCAGGGGGACCCAACCCAGCCCCACGGCCCCCCCAAGAACCTCCACGAGGGCCGCGAGAACGCAAAATGCAGATATTCTCGAGGTTTTTGGGTGGTCTCTCTGATGTCCGCTTGTGCGGCCCGATGACGCCCAATACTGCACCGCAGGCCTCCGCCATAACCTCAGCGCGGCCCTGGCGGCTCACATCAGAGCCCCTAAGACATTCCAAAACTCCATCAAGACCGCTCCAGAGGCTCCCAAGACGGCCCAAGAATTAACCCCAGACGGCCCCAAAGAAGGCCCGAGAGGGCCAACTTTGGAACGCTTCCCGCCCCTAACTAGCCCGATACGGCCCAGGAGGCCTTTCAAATCGGCCCGACGCGACCCACGGAGCCTTCCAGGAAGCCCCCAAGACAGCCCAAGATGCCCCCCAGATGTGACTGGAGGTCTCCCGACGGGCCAAGAAACCCTCACGCCCTTGAGAGGCTCCCGGAGGCTCCAGAGACTCCCTAGACGGCCACTGGGTCCCCAACAAGCCCCAGAGACGGTCCCGAGGGGCTCCCAGAAGACGCCCCAGGCGCCTTCGCAGAGGCCTCCGCGAGCCTCCTCCCCCCCTGGGTGCAGTGGAAATTGCTACTTCGCGGAAGCCCCGCCTCGATGGAAAACCCGCACCCCGCACCTCGGTGGCAGCAAAGTGCTTCCGGGTCCAGCCGCACAGCGCCGTTGGAAGGCGTTTCCCAGGGCCCCCTCTCGGAGGTGGCGCCTCGGCGGCCCCGCTCGTGCGAACGGCGTACGAGGGCTCTCGGAGAGCCCACGGTGGCCTCCAGAGTGCCCCAGATCGCCCCAGAGATCACCAGCAAAGGCCTCAGAGGGGCCCAACCCACGTCAACAAGCCTCCCCGGGGACCTCCGGGAGGGCGGCGAGGGCGCAGAGCTCTCGACGTTCTCAAAGTTGTTGTGCAATGTTTTCTGGTGCTCTTTTCTCCGACAGAAAGACGCCGAATACTGCACTGCAGGCCTCCTACTTCGGTCACACGGGGCCTGTGCGGCCCCCATGCGGGCCCCTAAGACGGCGCAAGATGCCGTCCAAACCGCTCCAGAGGCCCCCAATACATTACAAGAACCCCCCAAGACGGCCCCAAGGGACGCTTCCCCCCATCTGGCCCGATTCGCACTGGAGGCCTCCGAAATCGGCCCGACGCAGCTAAGGTGGCCTCTCAGAAAGCTCCTCAGACTGCCCAAGACGCCCCCCGGAGGCCACCCAGCTTGGCCGAGAAACTCTCAAGACGGCTCTAAGCAGGCCAACTCTGGAGCACCTCCCGCCCTCATCTGGCCGTTTCCATAGCCAGCGAGCCCCTAAGACGCCCCCGAGAGGCTCCCAGAAGGCCCCAGGGACGCTCCCAAGACGCTCCCATGCGCTGCCGAAGAAGCCTCGGCAGACACATCCAATAACCCGTTCCCCCAGGGTGCACTGCAAATTTGATACTGCGTGGAAGCGCCGCTTGAAAATGGAAAAAATGCACAGACCACACCTCTTGGGACACCTCTCGCGCGAGAGGGGCTGCAAAAAGTGCTTCGGGACCGAGCCGCAAACGCCCAGGAACGCTTTTTCAGGGACCCCTATCGCACTGCGCGTGTCCCAGGAGGTGTGGGGTGTTTTTCTTCATGCTGATTGCTTTCTCCTCCTCGACCTCCTCTTCCTCCTCCTCCTCCTCCTCCTCCTCCTCCTTCTCCTCCTCCTCCTCCTCCTCCTCCTCCTCCTCCTCATCGTCCTCCTCCTCCTCCTCCTCTTCCTCCTCGCTGCCCACGGCTCCCTCTGCCCAGTGGCTGCCGCGTTTTGCTGGTCACGCCGCTCCAACTCGCTATTGGACTACTGCCGATGTTGCCATACCCGCTGCCGCTGCTGCTGCTGATGCTGCTGCTGCAGGCGCTGCCCTGGACGCCGACACAACCATCAAGCACACAGTTCGCACCGGAACGCTGCGCAGCAGCAGGCGCACCCCCAATACTCTGGCACTCGTAGACGGTAGTCCACAGGTCAGTCCTAATCTGTACTACAATTCTGGTTGTTGCGCGTGCGACAGGGGCGAAAGGGTTGCGAACTGACCCACGAGCGCCCGAAGCGCCTCCGCGCTCTCCGATCCAGAGCGCGCGAGGACGGCCCAAGAGGACCCGAACGCAGCCCCGTGACAGCCCAAGACGGCCCGACTACGGGCCAGGTGCCTCCGGAAACAGCCAAGCTGGACCCCGCGGACGGTCCCCCGAGGCCAAAAGCTCAAAACCTTCTTGGTTTTGAAAGGTTTTCCATGTTCTCGCCGTGTCGGGCCAAGAGCGGCCCTAGGCGGCTCCAGGGTCATCCTTGATCGCCCCAAGACGATCCAGGAGGCCCCGCCAAGTGCCCCAAGACGGCCCCACCGGTGGAGGGCCCGAAGACTGCCCGAGAGAAGCCCAAGACAGCCTCATTGGACCCCCGGTGGCCCCCAAGACAGTCTCACGAGGGCCCGCAAGGCACCATAGCGCGCTCCAAGGCGGCCCGAGACCCCCTACATGGCCCCAGGACGGTCCAAGAGGCCCCGAGACGACCCAAGAAAGGCCCGAAATGGGCCAAGAGGGCCCCTAGAGGCTCCAGAAAGGCCCCCTACGAGGGCTCGAAATGGGGCCGAAGGGCCCCCCAATGGGCCAAGAATCTTCCAAGGACCACTGCCACCTGCCCCAGAGTCTCCCAAGAGCCTCCGTTGGTTCCCGAGGAGCTCCCAAGGAGAGTGCCTCGAGCCACGGCACTCTCTCGCCGTCTCTCGAACCCGAAACGCCCCCAACGAGATGCCCCAGAGCCTCCCAAGAGACTCCGATAGTCCCAACAGAGCTCCCCGAGATGCCCCGAGTCGCCTGCAAGACTCCGACGTTTGCCAAAAGACTGCGACAGTTCCCACGGAGCTCCCAAGAGCGGTCCAAGGAAGAGACTTCCAGAGTTCCCATGGAGCTCCCAAGAGCGATCCAAGGACCCGTCCGAGATGGCCCAGAGTTGCTCTCAAGACCTCTCCCCTGCGGCTGATGAGGGGTGACATGGGGGACCTTCTCTTCTGATCTCTTCCTTCCCTCATCGAGGCTTCTTCCCTTCATTCCCTCATCGAGACGGGGAAGGTCTTTGCGAAGACGGGGAGGAGGGAGAAGATGAGAAGGAGGAGGAGGAGAAGGGGGAGGAGGAGGATGAGGAGGAGGAGGAGGAGGAGGAGGAGGAGGAGGAGGAGGAGGAGGCGGAGGAGGAGGAGGAGGAGGAGGAGGAGGAGGAGGAGGAGGAGGAGGAGGAGGAGGAGGAGGAGGGGAGGAGTGAAGGGGGAGGGGGAGGGGGAGGGGGAGGGGGAGGGGAGGCGGAGGAGGAGGGAGGAGGAGGAGGAGGAGGAGGAGAGGAGGAGGAGGAGGAGGAGGAGGAGGAGGAGGAGGAGGAGGAGGAGGAGGAGGAGGGGAGGAGGAGGAGGAGGAGGAGGAGGAGGAGGAGGAGGCGAGGAGGAGGAGGAGGAGGAGGAGGAGGAGGAGGGGAGGAGGAGGAGGAGGAGGAGGAGGGAGGAGGAGGAGGAAGGAGGAGCAGGAGGAGGAGGAGGAGGAGGAGGAGGAGGAGGAGGAGGAGGAGAGAGGGAGGAGGAGAGGAGGAGGAGGAGGAGGAGGAGGAGGAGGAGGAGGAGGAGGAGGAGGAGAGGAGGAGGAGGAGGAGGAGGAGGAGGAGGAGGAGGAGGAGGAGGAGGAGGAGGAGGAGGAGGAGGAGGAGGAGGAAGGAGGGGACGGAGGAGGAGGAGGAGGAGGAGGAGGAGGAGGAGGAGGAGGAGAGAGGAGGGGAGGAGGAGAGAGGAGGAGGAGGAGGAGGAGGAGGCAGAGGAGGAGGAGGAGGAGGAGGAGGAGGAGGAGGAGGAGGAGGAGGAGGAGGAGGAGGAAGAAGAGGAGGAGGAGGAGGAGGATGGAGGAGGAGGAGGAGGAGGGGGAGGGCGGCAGGCTTCTCCTTCCCCATCGAGGCTCTGGCCGCTCCGAGGCCTCCACTCCGCTTGTTTGGGGGCGACAGGGGGTCCTGCAGCCGCTTCGGTCGCCCCTCCTCTACGGCCGATTAGGGGAGGAGCAGGAGGAGGAGGAGGAGGAGGAGGAGGAGGAAGAGGAGGGAGGAGGTGGAGTTCCTCCTCCTCATCCTCTCTCCCCTCCCTCCTCCGCCCCCTCCTCCTTCTCCTCTCCTCCTCCGCCCCCTCCTCCCCTCCCACGGCCTCGGGGGCGGGGGCACCTGCAGGCACTGCGGGGACCGGCATCCCGCTCCCCCCCTGATGCCGATCAGGGGTGACAGGGGAGATCTGCAGTCACCTCGGTGGTTCCCAAGACAGTCCCTCGACCACGAGATCCCTCCCTGGACTGCTTCGAGATGGCGCAGACCCCATCCAGGACACTCGAGGGCAGCCTCCAGTCCCAGCACCTTTGGACGTTTCTTGGTTTTCCAGAAGCCCCAAAGGACGCCCCAGTGTGACTTGTGTGATGCACGGTCGGGAACCTGCGCCTAGCCTGTCGCACCGCAAGATCTGGCCCACCACGCTGCGGCGCGACACGCCATCCAGGTCCCATTCCCCCGTGTGCCCTGTGCAGTACCGTCGGGAACGTGCGCCTAGCCTGTCGCACCGCAAGATCTGGCCCACCACGCTGCGGCGCGACACGCCATCCAGGTCCCATTCCCCCGTGTGCCCGGTGCAGTGTACGGTCGGGAACGTGCGCCTAGCCTGTCGCACCGCCGCTTCTGGCCCACCACGCTGCGGCGCGACACGCCGTCCACGTCCCGGTCGCCGGACCCCGAACGCCAACGTCTCGTGCCTTTCCCAGCCGCCCGCCCCGCGAAGCGGAGCGGCACGCTTTCAGCTTGCAGGGCATGGCGCGTCCCCACCGCCGCGGCACTCTCAGCAGAAGTTCCCGATCGTAGGATGGCGATTGAGAAATTCACGGGGGTGGCGTCACGCGGCAGAGGCCTGGGCGATACCCGATCCGTGGGGTTCTGGGCCTGCTTGTGGGCGTTGTCGTCGCCGTCCAGATTTTTTTTTGCCGCCTGCTTTAATTTTTTCCCACCGGCAGAAAACTTGGTCTTCAACACTCCCCCCGATGTCATTTCTGAATCGACATCCTGCGCGTCTCCAGTCAGCATGAGTCAGGAGGGGAAAAACACACAGACACAATCAATCTTCGATTCCCCAGAGAAAATGCGGGATAATATGGGAAGTGGGGGGGAAGACAGAAACCCCGAAAGTATGGGAAAATGTTGGGAATCTGTTTATCTGTGTGTGTTTACTTGCGTGTCCTGGGGCCCCTTCAGTGAGGGCGGCAGACGTCCGACCCTGCCTCGCCCCTCCGCGGCTGCTGAAACGCGCGACCCGCCCAGGATATATGAGGCCGCCTCCTGCCCTGCGCGCCCGCGCCGCCTGCTTCTTTCAGGAGGGGAAGGAACACACAGACACAATGAATCGGCGATGCCGCAGAAAATAGTGGAAAACATGGGCAGTGGGGGGGAAGACGAAAGCCCAGAAAATATGGGAAGATATTGGGGAATCTCTTTATTTGTGTGTATGTATTTGTGTGTCCCAGGGCCCCTTCAATAATGCCGTCTCCTGCCCTGCGCGCCCGCGCCGCCTGCTTCTAGGCACAGGCCCCGGGCAAGCGGCTGTCCCGGCGCGGTCCTTCTGCGGGGCGCGGCCGTCCATTCCTAGGGGAACAAAGAGTGGCATAAACATAAAAACCCGGAGGTCCGCGCGGATTTCCCGGATCGGCGCTGGACCCCCCTCCCTGGCGCGCGGAGCGCGCCAGTGGCGGCGCCGGAGGCGCCGCCGGGGGTCCCCAGCGCCGATCCGAGAAATCCGCGCGGACCCTCGAGTTTTTATGTTTATGTCATTTTTTGTTCCCCTAATTCCTGCCCGTCCTGCTGCCTCCCCTGACTCCAGATCCGCCTTGCTTTTGGGCATGTCGCAAGTGGGGCAGAAAGGTCCGCCCTCTGTCTCAAGCTCTCTTTTTTGATGTCGAGATCCGCCCTGTGTGTTTTGCCGCCGCTGTCTGCGCCACATGTTTGCTGACATGTCCGCCCTCGTTTGCTGAAGCGGAAATTTCTGCCCTACTTTTCTGCATCATCTGGGGCAGAATTCCAAAACAGTTGCAAGTCGGAGAATCTCAACCAAATTGCGGCGGATACGGATCCAGGGCCGTGCATTCCTGCCCGCCCTGGCCGCCTCCTCCTCCTCCTGCCCCTTGTCCCCTGTCATGTGGAAGCATGGTTGCCAGCAGGCGGAGTGGCGAAAGGGAGGCTTCAAAAAAAGCTTTAACGGCGAGGTGGGGGCGCGGCGGCTCCCCCCTCTGGACCTCCGGGATCGCCTCCCGGCCAGGTTTTCTTGAGGAGGATGGAGCCGCGGCGACGAGGACTTCCCAGGATGATCCCAAAAAGGATCCAGGCATACAGACCCCTACCTCGTGATCCTCCCTCCCTCCCTCCCTCCCTCCCTCCCTCTACAATTACTCAATATGAATCTACTCTCCCTCTTCCCCTGATGGCGTCCGGGTGATGGCCGCGCACCCTGCGCGTATTGTTTTTTTACACAGGATCCCCGGGAAATCCCGGGAAACGACTCTCGCTGAGGCGCCGGCGTCATTTTCGGGCAAAATGATGCTCTCGCTGAGGCGCCAGCCTCATTTCTGCTCCCGAATCGTTCCGAATCGTGCTCCCGCTGCAGCGTGGGCCTCATTTTCGGATCGGTGTTTGGCCTCCGTCGTTCAGGATGGCGTTCTCGCCCCAGCGCGGGCCTCTTTCTCGCGCGCCCATCCGCCCGCCACCACCGCGCCGCACCACCACCACCACCACCACCACCACCACCACCACCACCATCACAACCACCACCAGCACCAGCACCACCACCAGCACGAGCACCAGCACCAGCACCAGCACCAGCACCAGCACCACACCACACCACCACGCACACACGCACGCACGCACGCACGCACGCACGTGCACCACCACCCACTACGCACGCGCGCGCGGAGCCACAGGTCCGCTACGACACGCGTCCGCGGATAGATAAAATCAGCGCCCTGGTAAGGGATGGGAGGGAGGGGTAGGACGTCAGATATGACGCGAGCGCACCTAGCTTGTCCCCCCCCCCTCCCCCCACCCCCTGGCTCCAATCCCTCCCCTCTCACCCTCCTTCCCCGTCCTCTTCCCCTCCCCGCTCCCCGCCTTCCTTCCCGTCCTCTCCCCCCCCTCCCCGTCCGCCTCCTTCCTTAAACGTTGCCCCTGAAGGAGCGGTGCGGCACCACAACCAGCAGCAGCCCCGAGGAAGAGGAGGATGAGGAGGAGGAGGAGGAGGAGGAGGAGGAGGAAAAGGAAGAGGAGACCGTACCGCAAGCACGACGAGCTACACACCGTATCGTGCACGGTCACCAAGAGGAGTCAAGCAGCAGCCACACGACAGCTCCACCAGCAGAACAAGACCCGTGGACACCGAGGCCGATAGCTACACCACCAACGCCAATCGACAGCATCAATCGCCTAGAACCAGCACGTTGGCCAAGATAGAAGGCACCTTCACCGACCTATCCACAGTATTCGAACCAGCTGCACAACGCAGACCAAGCAGGAGGTCACGCAACGGACAGGCTGAACCAGACATGTGAATACAATCAAGCGCAACAGGTACCATCGAAGCCACCGCCAGCGACTCCGCCAAGAAGCATGGGAACCGCACCTGACAGCGACACTACCGATGCAAAAGCGACGCCTTCGACCGCACAACCGGTGGTAAAGGCCAGCGCCAGTAGCATCCATGATTTAGGCACGGTGCTCGAGATGGCCCCACTACCTACGGGACCCACACCACCAGACATGAGATCGGGCAGCAGAGTAAGTGAGCGGCACCAGGACTAAATCGAGCGCTTGACCAACAGCATCAGCACGAGCCAGCATAGCTGTGAATCCAGGGACTTCAAGATACAGTCCCACAGGGCCATTTCAGACTACTTCGAGAAAATTAGCAACACGAGCAGCACCTTCGATCTGGACATAGCGGCAGGCCCCAACATTCGGCTCGAGTGCGATCAGGTCATGTACTACGTGGGGGCGCCATTGAACTATGGCTTCCCGTGCGAGGGACAAAATGAGGCGGGAATGTTCCACGTGACCGAACGCCAGGCTCGCCTCGCCCAGCTTGCTAACCACCAGCTTGCGATGATGCTGACCTTCAAGACATGCGACGACTCAGGCGACACGCCGACCCCAGGCGCCATGAATGCATCAGCGCACCGCGTCAACAGAGAGCAGCAGATTGGGTGCAGCAGCGGGAAGCACCCAGCCCGGCGGACCCCCAACATTGCGACGCTTCCCGACCAACGAACCGACCTCCCAGAGACAGAGCAACCGACGGACCCGCAAAACCGAGCGCATCCGACACCGTCAGAAGAGTGCAACCAGACCAAGTAGCCACCAGTACGCAGTAAGTGGGCACAGATGGCAGAGCACCCAGCTCTGCAGAAGCAGACCACAAGCAAACAAGCCGTGACCGAGTCAACAGCAGATCTCGTCAAGTTCAGCAGCATCGACCAGACCACGATGGCCGTTCGGGCAACGGGAGACGCCGACAACCAGACCCAGCCGACGGAGAGCCTCACGGGCGAAACCGACATGTGTAGGCTTACGACCGCAGGCGATCACCAGCCGACGGCGATCATACCAGCTAAGTGCCAGCACGGAACCAACCAGACCCACAGCCAGGGCACATACGAACATACCCAAATTGATGACGCCTCCGCCCCCTGGCCACCTTTGGAAGTCGAGTGCAAGCAATACCGCCATGCCCACAAGTCTGACGCTCTTACGGCAAATCAGGAAATCCCCCCTGATTGCCAACAACCATGAGGCTAACGCCTCTCGACGGGACCGTCCTTACAGCGGCCCGTTTGTGCGCCTACCTCCTCAGCATGCACGTCATCTCCAAGTTGCACCATTACAGACTGTCTCCTACGTCAGCTGCTACCTCCCGACACCTTACCTCGCCACTATTCTCTTACCCAAAACCCAACAGCACGCACTCACCTACGCGACCGGGAGCAGCACAGCTGGCCGTACCATCTCCATACCCACATCCAGCAGCAGCAGCTAGCGGCTCCTCAGGCCCAACCAGCGACGACTGTGTCAGGAGCATGCAGTGCTATGCTCTGGGTCCCCGAGAGGTTATCTCATTCACACGGCTGTGCTAGATCATCCGACGAGTCACGCAGTGCTTCGGCAGACGTTAACGGCATCAGTAGAAGGTGTGCTAGAAGTGGGTCCCCCAAGGGCACTCTCACCCACAAGTTGTGCTGCCGCAGCCGACGCGTGCGCCAGCCTCCAACCTTCCCTCCCTCCCAGCTTCCTTCTCGTGCCTGTTCCCCCTGCTGCATCCCACTAACCTTCTTCACCCCCACTCCTGTGGCGGCGGAATGGGTGGGGCGTTCACGGTGGTGAGGGCAGGATCTCACCGCAGGCCGTCTTGGCAAGGGCCAGGATTGCCGCGGCGGCAACCAACAGCGCCTTGCATCCAGGAATAAGGCAGTCACAAGAACCTGGGCAGCTACAAGTAGCTGCCCCCACCCGTGCACTTTCACCTCCAACCTCGAGCTGCGACGTGCAGTCGCGATCTTCGGTCGCCTGCCCACGCCAATAGATGTGGGGCGGGGAAGGAGATTTCGTGTGTGTGTGTGTGCGGGGGGGGGGTACGTCCCCCCAACTGCCACCGTGCCGCCGCCTTACGGAAGGCAGAAACCTCGCTCGAGCACGGTGGAAATCCCCCAAGTGGCCCCCACCTCCGCGGCTTCGGTACCCTACGTACTCCTGTTTGCAAGGGGGGGTACCAGTCGCGGGGATGGGGGTCACTTCGGGGTACTTCCTGTGTGCAGGGGGAGAGGCCCTTCTGCATTCCCGCTTGGCGAGTGTGGCCGGTCACCGTCCACAGCCAGTGGCACCTGCCACCGCCAGGATGGCCCAAACCTCCCTCGCGCTCGGTGGAGACTCCCACGGCGGCCCCGAGGCCAAAGTGCTGGGAACCCTGCGCCTGCTTGCAGGCGGTGGACCCCGCCTTTGGCTTCGGGGACGCCCTCGGGGGCTTCCTATGAGCAGAGGGAGAAGCCCTTGGGCCATCCGACGCGGTGAGCGTGGCTAGGGCAAGCCGCCGACACGCAGCGACCGCACTGACCCGTGCGCAGCCACCACCACCTCCAGCCGCTTTCCGCCGTGGCTCCCTTTTCACCTCCACCTCACCGGCCCCCACCTCCACACTTTGCTGCAAGAGTTGCACCGGTGCAACTTACCTTGCAGCCATCAGGGGGCCTACGCGGCCACCAGAGCACCCACCACTCTACCCCTGCCGTCGCAGGTCAACCAGCTCCCCCTCCACCCTTTGTCAGGTTGGGCACCTCTGCGGAGGGGGACCCAGAACGCCCCTTAAGGCGCCAGCCCAATGGGGCTGGTTGACTCGAATGGGGGAGGACCCAGCAAAGGGCCCCAGGGCACCTGGGCCCAGACACCACACTCTGTCGCCGCGCTTCTACCACAACAGCTGCAGCAGCCACCCCTCCTTTTGCTACCCCCCTCGAGGTTATTCAGGATTTTGATGTGATGCCTCTCCTGTATCATCCTCCTCATCCTCATCGTCCTCCTCCTCCTCCTCTCTGTCTGTCTACTTTTACCGTCTTCTTATTTTTAGAGCATGTTCCCCAAGGCTGGCTTTTGGCTAGCCCCGGCGGAAGCGGTAGCCTTCGTGAAACACCAATGTCGTCAGGAAATCCAGAAATCGGGACGGGGAGAAAGAGGCGGAGGAGGAGGGGGAGGAGGAGGAGGAGGAGGAGGAGATAAGCGGCAGCGTTCGGAGAACACCAATGCCGTCGGGAAATCAGGAAATCGAGAGGAGGAGGCGGAGGAGGAGGAGGAGGAGGAGGAGGAGGAGGAGGAGCCCCTCCCCCCCTTTGCCGCGGATGCCGGCGGCGCTGCGGGCGCTCCTTCTCGCGCCGCCTCTCGCGGCCTGCCTGCCCGAGGTGTTCGGCAGGCGCCGCCGCCGGCCACTGGCCGCCGCTGGCCGTCGCTGCCGCCGGCCCGTCGTCGTTCGTCGTGCGTCGTGCGTCCTTCGTCGTTCGTCGTTCGTCGGCGTTCCTCGTTCGTCGTTCGTCGTGCGTCGTCGTGCGTCGTTTGTCGTTCGTCGTGGGTCGTGCGTCGTTCGTTGTCGTTCGTCGTGCGTCCGTCGTCGTTCGTCGTTTGTCGTTCGTCGTGCGTCATCGTTCCTCGATCGTCGTTCCTCGTTCGTCGTTCGTCGTTCGTCGTCGTGCGTCGTGCGTCGTTCGTCGTTCGTCGTCGTGCGTCGTGCGTCCTTCGTCCTTCGTCGTTTGCCGTCGTCGTCCATCGGTCAGCGGGAGCAGAGGGGTGCTTCTTTGCCCCCCAGCCGTCGTTCGTCGGTTGTCGTCCTCGCTCGTCGTCCTCGCTCGCCGCCGTCCGTCGGTTGCTGGTTGTCGTGCGCCGTCCGCGGTTCGCCGCTCGTCGTCGTGCGCTCCGTGCCCTTCGCACGTCGTCGTCGTGGCCGTCGTGGCCACCGCGGCTGTCGTTCGTCGTTCGCTCGTCGTTCGCTCGTCGTCGTCGGTCGTCGTAGCCCGCCGTCGTCGTGGCCGTCGCTCGTCTGCGTCTTCTTGCTCCCTGTTCGTTGCCCATCGTCGTCGTCGTGGTCGTCGTTCTTCGCTCGTTTGTCGTTCTTCGTTCACTCGTCGGGCGTCGTCTTCGTTCGTCGCTGTCGACGAGCAGGGACCGAACATCGAGCATCGAGAATCAAGGATCGAGGATCCAGTTGATGTGGTCGGGCCTGTGTAAGCCTCCAGAGGCCTCTGGAATCCGTCGTCCTCGTCCTCGTCCGCGCACTCGTTATCGTTCACATGCTCGTTCTCCTGCTCATCCTGTTCCTCCAGGCGGGATGCGGGCATCGGGGAGAGGACTCCTGACGGGGTCGCCGCTCTCCTCCTCCTCCTCCTCCTCCTCCTCCTCCTCCTCCGTATGCTCCTCCTCTGTAGATATCTCCTCCTGCACCTATTCCTGCGCAGCCGTTTGGCTCTGCCCATCCAGGCCTCGCCGCTCTCCCCCAGCTCCAAGAGGCACCCGAGGCCATCATGGCGACCGGATGGGGCCAGGCTCACATCCAGCCGATGGGCGAGCTGGACATGGCGAAGTACTGCAAGCTCGACGAGGTCCAGGAGAGCCTCCAGCGCAAGTGCAAGATCGTCTGCACCATGGGCCCGAACCAGTCCAGCCCTGAGGCCATCGTGAGCCTGCTGAAGGCGGGCATGGACGTCGCGCGCATGAACTTCTCCCATGGCGACCATGAGACCCACGGCGCCATGGTGGCACGCATCCGCGAGGCCTCCAAGATCGCGGGCAAGCCGGTCGCGATCGCGCTCGACACCAAGGGGCCCGAGATCCGCACGGGCTTCTTCAAGGAGGGGGGCAAGATCAAGCTCACCAAGGGGCAGGACCTGAAGCTGGTGACCGACTACGACTTCAAGGGCGACAACACCTGCTTCGCGCTCAGCTACCCGATGCTGTGCAAGTCGGTCAAGCCCGGCAACATCATCCTCTGCGCGGACGGCTCCCTGTCGCTGAAGGTGAAGACGGTCGGCGACGACCACGTCATCACCGAGGTCATGAACGACTGTTCCCTGGGCGAGCGCAAGAACTGCAACCTGCCGGGCATCCAGGTCGAGCTTCCAGTGCTGCAGGAGAAGGACATCAATGATCTCGTGAACTTCGGCATCCCGCAGGGCGTCGACATGGTCTTCGCGTCGTTCGTCCAGAGCGCCGCCGACGTGAAGTTCATCAGGGACACCCTCGGCATGAGGGGGCGCAGCATCCACATCATTCCGAAGATCGAGAACGAGGCTGGGGTCGCGAACTTCGACGAGATCGTTGCCTGCTCCGACGGCATCATGGTGGCCCGCGGCGACCTGGGCATGGAGATCCCCCCTGAAAATGTCTTCGTCGCGCAGAAGATGATGATCACCAAGTGCAACCTGGCGGGCAAGCCAGTGATCACCGCCACGCAGATGCTGGAGTCCATGTGCGGGGCTCCGAGGCCGACACGTGCCGAGGCCAGTGACGTGGCCAACGCGGTCCTCGACGGCAGCGACTGCGTCATGCTGTCGGGTGAGACGGCCGCCGGCGGCTACCCCCTGGAGTCGGTGACTATCATGCGCAAGATCTGCCAGACGACGGAGGGGATCCTCGACTACGCGGGCATGTACCTCAGCACCCGCATGCAGGTGCTGCAGAAGGGGCCCATGAGCCCCGTGGAGGGCGTGTGCTCCTCCGCCGTGAAGACCGCGATCGACAGCGACTGCAAGCTCATCGTCGCGCTCACCGAGACGGGCTCCACCGCGGTGATGCTGGCCAAGTACCGCCCGAAGGCCCAGATTCTCGCCATCACCGCCAGCGAGACCACCCAGCGCCACCTGTACCTCAGCCGCGGCGTCATCCCGATGCTGACCGCCTCCTTCGTCGGCACCGACTCCGTCATCGCCAAGGCTCAGGAGGGGAAGAAACACACAGACACAATGAATCGTCGACCCCCAAGAAAATATAGGAAAATATGGGACCTGGGCGGGAAGACAAAGACCCAGAAAATATGGGAAAATATGGGGAATCATGTTATTTGTGTGTATTTATTTGTGTGTCCTTGGGCCCCTTGAAAGGCGCTGAAGCAGGCGAAAGAGTGGGGCCTCGTCTCGGCGGGGGACTCCGTCGTGGCCGTGCACGGAACCAAGGAGGAGTGCCCAGGCAGCTCGACGCTCATGAAGATCCTCACGGTGTCGTGAGCGCCCCGCAGGACGAGGAGGAGGGGGAGGGGGAGGAGGAGGAGGAGGAGGAGGAGGAGGAGGAGGAGGAGGAGGAGGAGGAGGAGGAGGAGGAGGAGGAGGAGGAGGAGGAGCGCCCCGCAGGGCGGGCGGGCCGCCGCCGCGGCGCGCGGCAGCGGCACCGCGAACTCTCAACACCATTTTCTCGCCAGGGGGAAGGGGGGGGTAGGGATGCGGGGAGGCCCCGTCGAGACGACTGCGGTCCTCCCTGGCGCTCCTCGCCCTCTCCTGGGCCTCCTGGAGGCTTCTCCTCGCCACGGCCGGATGCGCCCCTGAAAAAGACAAACGCCGGGAGGGGCCCGGGAGGGGCGCGGGGGCCGGACATTTGGAGCGGATATGGGGGGCCGAGCGGGAGAGCCGCCGTGGCCTCGACGGGCCCTCCTCCGAGCAGGGGACGGGGGAGGGTGCGGCGGCTGCCGGCGCAGCAGCGATTTTCTGGCCCACTCGCTGACGAGTCTTGCGGGCCGGCGCGGGCGGCGTTCGCGCTGGGCCTTTTCGGCCCCGCCCCCCACACTAGAGGTTCCAGACCTGCCAGAGCTCTCCCTTTCCCCCTCCGCCTCCTCCTCCTCCTCCTTCTCCTCCTCCTCCTCCTCCTCCTCCTCCTCCTCCTTCTCCGCCTCCTCCTCCTCCTCGTACTCCTCGTACTCCTCCCCCTCTTTTCCCTTCACTCGAGGCTACTGGTGTTCCTGTCTTGGTTCGCAGGTGGTGTCGACAGTTCCCCCTGTGGCTACCGCTTTGGAGACATGCTCCACATAGTGATGGTATAAGTATGTGTACGTTGCAGCCACTAGCGCGTGTGGAGTACGGTGTACACGCAGGAGAAGGAAAAAAGAAGCCTAGCGCGGGGCCCAACCCTTTGCAGTTATGAGAAATGCAGGGGGGGGGCCCTCTCTTCATGGAAGGCTGGGGGGGGGTACCGAAGTTAAGCCGAGCGCCACTTACTGGGCAATTGGATTTCGGTTCGCGTCGCGCGTGCGGGCGAAGGTGAAATTGCGCGAGATTCTCTCCTTTAGTCGGCAAATCTCTGCAATTTCGCTCCCCCCCTCCCACCTTACCCCCCAACCCTGCCCGCCGCGTTCCCCCCCCATCCACCGTTGGCCTGCGGGACGTGGTCCGCCGCGTTCCCCCGCAGCTGTCCCGCGGTTGTCTTGCGGCTGCCCTGATTGATGTTCGATGGTGTCCCGATGCAGTCCCGAAGGTGTCTTGATTGACTTTGCTCTAGTATTGGTCGATTGACTGCCGATGGTGTCGGAATTCGGTTTCGATGATTCTCCGACGGTGTCCACTTGATGTTCCATGGTGTCTCGATTCATGTTCGATGATGTCCCGACGGCTCCCCGACTTTTTTTCGATGAGGTCCCGACTAGTTATGCTTCGATTGGTGTTCAATGCTTTCTCGAGGGTGTCCCGACTGATTCACATTCGATGGGCCATCGTCGATAGCGTCCCAGTGGTGCTTCGATTGTTTGTTGATAGGGTCCTGTGGTTGCCCCACGGTTGCCCCGTGGTTATCCCGTGGTTTTCCCAGCGGTGAGATAGCTAGGATCTAGATAATCTGATACAGAAACATAGGAATTCGAATCTTTTGACGAGGCGAAGCGCTGCAGCTAGAGCGGAAGTGTCTGGACATTAGCTGCAGCAGGCAAGCGGGACGGGCTGGAACAGTCAAATCAATGAGTGTGTCGGAGGAGTTAGATGAGGCTTGATATGAAGGGGGAACATGCGAGATTTCGTCGCCTATCCCCCCCCCAAGAAAAAGGGAAATGTCGAATGTTCCACTTCAGGGGTTCAGAGGGGACCATGGAATATGTTCATTACCATCATCTGCATCATCATCATCATCATCAGCAGCAGCAGCAGCATCAGCATCAGCATCATCATCATCATCATCATCGTCATCACCACCATCATCATCATCATCATCATCATCATCATCATCATCATCATCATCATCATCATCAACACTACCACCATCATCATCATCAGCATCATCATCGTCGTCATCAACAGGATCATCCTCATCGTTTTTTTGCATCTCTGGGAAATCCGGAAATCTCCACACCTCAGTTGCTATCAGGGTGCCTCGCCGGGGTAATTCTGTGTTTGTGCCCACCCACCCTGCGGCTGGCGCGAGGAGGAGGAGGAGGAGGAGGAGGAGGAGGAGGCGGAACAAGAGGAGGAGGAGGAGGAGGAGGAGGAGGAGAGGAGGAGGAGGAGGAGGAGGAGGAGGAGGAGGAGAGGAGGAGGAGGAGGAGGAGGAGGGGAGGAGGAGGAGGAGGAGGAGGAGGAGAGAGGAGGAGGAGGAGGAGGCGGAGGCGGAGGAGGAGGAGGAGGAGGAGGAGGAGGCCTCTGTGGGAAAGCTGCATCACTGCTTTCAGCACCAGCCCTCCGCCCGCGGAGGCACACCGAGGCACGGTGCCACGCTGCACCGCGAGGCGCGCACGCGCTGCGGCTCTTCGCTGTGTGAGCCTTGGCGCGCAGGTGCCGCCCCCCCTTGACGCCGGAAAGCAGACGGGAGGGAGTCCAACCGACACCCCCCTCTCCCTCCCGTTGAAAGGGGGGTCCGAACCCCCTCCTTTCAGGGGGGGGGGGGGACGGGGTCCACAACCGCCCCCCCCCCCCTGAAGGGGGAGGTCCGAAGACTCTCCTCTCCCCCCTTGGGGGGGGGGTGTGCGAGCACCCCCCCTTTTCAATCAGAGGGGCACCCGCTGGCGCTCTTTCTAGATCATTAGGGGAACAAAAAGTGACATAAGCATAAAAACTCGGAGGTCCGCGCGGACTGGCGCGGATCCGAGAAGTCCGCGCGGACCTCCGAGTTTTTATGCTTACGTCACTTCTTGTTCCCCTAATGATATAGAGAGAGCGCCAGTGGATGCCCCTTTGATTGAAAAGGGGGGTGCTCGCACAGCCCCTCCCCCCAAGGGGGCAGAGGAGAGTCTTCGGACCTCCCCCTTCAAGGGGGGGGGCGATTGTGGACCCCGTCCCCCCCCCTTCAAAGGGAGGGGGCTCGGACCCCCCCTTTCAAAGGGAGGGAGAGGGGGGTGTCGGTTGGACTCCCTCCCGTCTTCTTTCCAGCGTCAAGGGGGGGCGGCCTCGGGCTTTCGGATCTCCCGGAGTCTTGGACCTCGCACGTCCAGATTCGTTTCCAGGCAGCCTCAAGCGCCGCGGCGAGGATGGGGCCCGCGAAAGTTTTGATAGGAGGAGGAGGAGGAGGAGGAGGAGAAGGAGGAGGAGGGGGAGGAGGAGGAGGCGGAGGAGGCGGAGGAGGAGGAGGAGGAGGAGGAGGAGGAGGAGGAGACTGGACGTTTCAGCTCGTCTTCGCCTTCATGGGGGGACGAGCCTCTGCGGCCAGGCCGAGGCTCGGCGACGACGATGACTGGCGGCGGCGACGGCGATGACGACGAAGAAGCAATACGGGCCCTAATTACGACACTTTTTGGGCCAGCGGCGACGGTGCGAGCGATGCGTTCGAGCGGCAGCTAAGCGGCAGCTAATAGAGTGCCGTTTTGTTAACATACTCCGCGTGCGGAACATGTATTGAACATGCAGGGATTTAGTATTAAAAACAACGACGAGTTCATGCCTAAAATTATTCATACATTAACCATGTATTAAACATCCAATGTATTAAACATCCTATGTGTTAAAACCTGCCCCCCCCCCCAAAAAAAAAAAATCGCGTCGAGCTTCCGTCTTCGAACCTCCCGCGAACTTCGGACGCTCTCCGACGAAGTCCCCGGAGGGCGAGCCCGGCCTCGGGGGGGAGGAGGCCCCCAGCGAGCAAAGCTGTAGAAACACTCTCCAGGAGGGAAAGAAACACACAGACACAATTCATTGGCGATTCCCTAGAAAATATGGGAAAATCTAGGAAGTGAGGGGGAAGACAGAAACCCAGACAAAGTATGGGAAAATATGGGGGATCTGGTTATTTGTGTGTACTTATTTGTGTGTCCCAGGGCCCCTTCATGTACAAACACACTCGCGTCAAGGTTCCACCTTCGAACTCCCACCGATCTCCGCTCTTCTGTTGCCGGTCATCGTTCATGCACCCTCCAACCTCCAAGCCTCGGTCCGAGCCTGCATGGCGTCGAGCGTACACATTGTCCCGAGCTCTGAGGCCACACCCTCCAAAAGGTCAACGAGTGCTTTTCGTCATCTGGCATGTGTCGTGGGTCAGAGGTGTGTTGGAAGCCTCTCGAGTCTTCTGTACCCGGCTAATCTCAGGAAACTGTCCGGGGGAAGTTTCGTTCTTGAAGTGTTGATTTTTGGTTGAGATTCCACGGGAGATGTTTGAAACTCGAATCTCTTTTTAGATTTCCTTTTGAGATTTTCAAGACGCGAAGATTTGTCCGATATGCGCTGGAAAATTGCTATAGGATTCGGGAAATGTGCTGAGATTCGCGGGAAGTTGTTCTGAGATTCCAGGGCGGTCGCCTTGGCCATAGTCGACCCAATCTACGGGGGCGAGGTATACACGCTTGAACCTCGCCCGCGGAGGGAAGCGGTGGAGCGCCACGAAGGGCTCCTACACTTGAGTCGGGCCTGTCCCTCTACACGGGGAATATTCAAAAATAGTCAAAAAATAGTCCGGGGACTATTTGTTTGAGTATCTTGGGGCATCTTTGGAGCATTTTTTGAGAATTTTTCATTTTTCTTCCAAAATCAGGACCCCCCCAGGGAGGTCCCCGAAGAGGGCCCCAGGGGAGGCCCCAGGCAGGCTGGCCCCCAGAGATGGGGGGCGAGGCGGAGGAGAAGGAGGAGGAGGAAGAGGAGGAGGAGGAGGAGGAGGAGGAGGAGTCTCGGCGCCCCTGCGCGCGAGACTTGTGGCGGCGCCCCCGCGGGGGCCGCGGGGCGTTTTGCCCGAGGGGCAGCGCCGCGAGCTGCGGCCCCCCGGGCGCAGCTCGCAAAGCGTAAGTCGGGCGTGTCCCCCCACAGGGGGATTTTCGACGAAAAATAAAAAA